CTCATTAACTTTAAACTTTCATACTTTAAAAGAATAACTTTATTGAAAACAATTATCTTATTTTTAAGTACTAAAACCTGTTAAGATTGAATTTTTAACAATTTTTAGCATTTGAATAATGAAACTTTTTGTTTTAATTAATTTGTAAAAAATAAATTTCTGAATTATTAATTAAAACAGTGTAACTGAACAATAAAAGCATAAAAAAATAAAGAAATTATTAATTTGTACAGTAAATGAAATTTTAGAATAAAATAAAAATATGCAAATGTAAATGAAATTATGAGTAGATAAGATGGAAAAAAAGCAAGAAGGACCCAGCAGAATATAGCTAAGATTCTGACAACGGCAATTATGCTGTAACTAAAAGAAAACATTCAGAAGCACTAAGGCACTCAATGAAAGCGCAAGAAAATTTTATCAGTGTATGCATGTATTTGCCGCTTATATATATACGTATGTGCCGAATAAAAACATATTATCAAAAGTAGCAATTAATAATAACTCAAAATTTGATGTCTATATGATATTTGATATTCAGTTTGAATGATAATTGTATAAAAAGGTAAGATCAGTTAGTTGCTAAAGCCAAGTCTAAATTTTTAATCTCAATTTTTTGAAATAATCAAAATGATTACACGCATAATATTACAACATAAGTTATTCATTGATTGCATTTAGTAGTAGACACTTTTCGTCAAAAATTAATAAAGCACATCCAGAACAGAAACAAGAAATTATTTGTGCAAACATAAAACATGAAAAAATTACAAAGCAAAATCACAAGATTTTTCCCACTGTGCTATTATTCTTAATCATATTAAAGGAATAGAATAAAACTTGAGACAAAATTGCTGTCTATTAAATTTTCTCGTTTATTATGCGTAAAAAGAAGTATTACATTATTTGTGCATATATTTTTAGTAAAATAATTATCAATTTTTAAATTTATTTTACTCAGTTGAAAATTTAATAGTGGGAATACATGTGATATTACTAGCAGAAGTATGTGATCAGAAAAACATTTGATAGTTTTGAATAAAATTATTAAATAAAGAAAAAGGAAAGATAGAGTAAGAGTGCATGGATGTGTGTCAATTAAAAACAAACCGTGTTTGGTTTTTGCATAAAATTATGAGTTTGGTTTTGATAAAGAAGAGAAGTGTTATGAAGTAGCTGATTTGTTGCTACCATATGGATGATCTCTAGTTTGACCAAGCACACGTCGTTGGTTACACAGCATTGCACCTAGAAACATCAACAATTTCCTTATTATTTTTGGTTAATTTTGTTAAGAATAATTAAAAGGAAAGTTAAAGTTTGACTATTTGATGAACTATTATGCTTGTTTATTCAGTTCTGCTGTCATCTTTCTCAAGTTAGTTAATCATATTATACCTAATACTAATTTTAATATTTTATTTACACCAGCTAACTACGTATATTCTTAATTCTTTAAACCCCAAATGTATTATTTATATAGATCTCTAAATCAGTGTAATTTCACTTCTATACTACATATTAAACGTATTTCATAGTAACTCCACTTTCAAACTAATTTTTTTTTTAATTCCTATCAATTATACAAATACTTGAATAAACAAATTAAATCTACGTAGTGGGAAAAACTCCCTGTCTTGCAATCAAAAGTCAAACTTGAATGTTACTTGAGACGTGAAAAGATAAAGTCAGTAAACTGACATTTTGCATAAGTAAATATGTAAATGAGTCATGAAGTCAATGGGTAATTAAGTCAATAATTAAATATGTAAGTCAGCATCGGCAAAAAAAAACAAGCACTAGAAATTTTTGGGAGTAAGTAAATATTGGATCTATTTATGCAATACATGTGTTAATAACTGCTTCACTAATAAAAAAGTAGCTTATAACACAAAGGCCCGTTAAGTAGTAAAAAAAGACTGATGTTAATTTGATAACAAATCTAAAAAATAGCAAAAATCAATCAACCAATCAATTAATAAACGACGTGTATACATGACCCGTTTAGTTTTTATCTGTTTTTGAGTTATAATATTTTTATCTGAGATTATTCGATCCTGACAATAAATGCCAACTGCACTGAACAGGAATGAAAGGTCTTAGAATAGTAGCAAACTTAAAAGATAAGACTTCTGTAATGAAAATAAAGAATGAGTTTTAGCACAATGTATTCAGAGATACATCTCGAGATAATGTAAAAAATCCATCAAAATACAATTACTGAAACAGCATAGATTACAAATAAAAAGGATAAAATTTGAATTAAATCTTAGCACGTCAAAAGTTTTCCTTCACTTTCAAATTTTTAATTGTAGCTAATTTCAATGCAGAAATTAATCCTCTATTACCACTGTATAACACAATCATTAACAATAACAGTATTATCGAGTTCAAATCACATTCTTTGAATAATTTAGACAATAACTGACCCGCATGGGAGATATCCATTGATGATGCATAATCACCGATGTAAGCATTAGCACCAAGCATTGCAGCTACAGCTGCATATTGCTGTTGTTGAGCTTGAACTTGCGCCTGAGCTTGAGCCTGAGCCTGAAATGTTGCTGCTGTGCTGCTTACTGGAACTCCAAAACCTGCCGAACCTGATGGGTCGAATGGTAGTGAACTAAAATGTTACCATAAAAACATCGTGCTTTATCATTATTTGTTAATATTATTTATTTATTTTTCTTTTTATTTTGATGAACAAAAGCAAAATATATTATCAACGAAAAATAAATCTGCTCATGAACTGATATATTTAATACTGAATAAAAGAACAAAACAAAACGATTTAATATCGAAACTAAACACTTTAGAATATAGCAAAACGATAACTTCAAACGAAATGGCAAATAATTTTCAAACAATAATTAATAGTTGGTGAATACTGTCAATTTACTTCAGATATAATTGTGCATATTCATTCTGTGCTAACGTGGGATGATTCTGTAGTAACTGAGGTGGTAATGCAGTCACATTACCAGATCCCTGTTGATTAAGCGCTGCTGCAACATTCTGTTGTTGATTAGCTACAGCTTGGAGTTGTGCTGCAAGTGCTACAGCTGCTGCATTTGCAGCTGTAGGTGCAGCAGCACGTGAAGGTGAGAGAATAATTGGTGCTCCTGCTAAACCAGGTGATCTTAAGTTATTGGTCTGAAAGCAGTTATTAATATTTAATTATCCTTTACATTCTTTGTTATCAAAATAAGCAAGTAAAAATTACTAACTTTTTACGAATTAAAAATTTTAAGCTGAAATTTACTTGTGTAGCAGCAAGAGGTAATGGTGTCATTAAACGAGCTTGCAATGCAGCCAAAGAATTTTTATTTACTGCAGCAGCAGCAGCGGCAGCAGCAGCAGCTTGCGCAGCCGCTGTTTGTGTAACATTAGCTGATCGGTAGGTACCGTTTATTATTGCTAATTCCATTAGTTGCTTACGTTTCAACTCATCGTCATCTGACTGCAAGAAAAATTCATATCAGAATATACTGTTTTACCAGTAATGCTAAATCATAGTACATCTGTATATAATGTTTGAATTTGAAGCAATGTTTTGTAGATAGAAATTAATTCAGTACTCATTTTTCATCAATAATTTTAAATGCATATTGAAAAAGTTAGTTCAAAAACTGAATACTGAAAAATATCTTTAATTTCTGAAAACAAACCAACTTTTCTTCCACAAAAAAATTGGCCCACTACAAAACTAGACTAAAGATAAAATCCAAAATTACCGAAGGAACCAGTAACTTCTTCACTTCGGTTGCAGCTCGTTTTAATTTTATCAGTGCTCGATTTGGTGTATCTTCACACTGTATCAAAACATGCAATTCTTCTGATAAATGTTCCCAGTTAGGTTTACCACGATTTGCTTCTTCCTGCACAAAATTTAAACATTTCAAATTATTACTCACAACAAATTTTCAAATGAATAAGCAAGCGATGAGCAGAACTCTTGTAAAGCATACAAAAGTAATCAAAGTGGTGTTGAGGAAAATTGAAAAATTAAATGCAAAAATAGTTATTGATCATTGAAACTTAGTTGATAAAATAAATATAACTTGAAACAAACCTTGGCTTTGTCTCGCATCGAGCCTTTTCCTCGTACCATTATCTTACATCCAGTTTCTTGCTCCAACTGCTTTGCTGTCATACCACGTGGGCCTAATATTCTTCCAACAAAATTGTACTAAAAAAATACCACAATTAATTAATCCCTCGTGTTTCACTCACATTACGAATTAAAATTTATTTCAAAATTTTATTTTTCATTACTACCAGTTTTAACTAAAATTATTCACACGTAAAGACCAAATTCATTGTGAGTGCAATCTCAAGTGAATAAAAAAGTTGACGGAAGTGAAAAAATTTTTGTAGCAATTAAAAAATAGAAAGAAATTTGTAAGAAAGCTTAAAATTAAAATATGTTAGAGGAATTATCAAAAAATGTATGGTATTTGGAAAATATAATTACATGCAAAGTTACTTACATCTGGATGTTCTTTGACAGGAACGAATATCTTCTCAGTCATGGTGGTAATTTCCCCTTCTGGTTCTGGTAGATTTGACATTGCATCTTTAGCGAATTCAAATTGGAATAATGATACCCGTACTCTGCTAATTTCTGCAATAAATTGCTGATATTTTAAAGACATACTAATTAATTAATCAATTTATTAATTAATTAACAGAAATCGCATAAAAATATATGAATAGCACTATAGAAATAAAAACTTGAATTCCTTCTTTTAATATACTCACATGTAAAATGATTTTTGTCTACCAATGATAATTTAGAAATTGATACAGCAATTATTCTACGTAACAAGCTTAGCTAGAAATGCAACCTTCTTCAACAAGCCGATCGAGGTGATGGAAAACATTAGGAAATGCTTCCAACTGCTTTTTATCCTTTAATAATTGTGCCAAATATTCATAAGTGTATTGTGTTTTACCGTTACCATTTGCTTTGCCTAAATTTGAATGGTATAAAAATGCTATCAAATTAATTACATAAAATTTATTAAAGCAAGAAAAAAGAGAAAATACTAATTTTGTACTATCAAAGAATTTGCACATTTTATATAATTTTTTTGCTAAAAACAAGCAAAACTAAAAACAATGATAGTTATTATAAACAGTATAATAGACCGAAACATTCAAAAGAAGTGAATAAAAAACAAATTTAAACTTAAACTTGACTGTAGAATTGAGACAACAAATAGTAATAAATAAGTACAGTACTAAATTAATATTGATAATACATTTTACTGACTCTTTCCAAATGAATGCAATTTGTACTAACTTGTAAATTTAAGTTTTATAAGTAACGCGAAATGAAGAGAAGTTAAGAAAAAAAGCACGTACGTACGAGCAATATGCAAAAATGCAGGAAATGAGGTTTAAGCAATAGCAATTTGTTTTTTTAATTTCAGATATGTGTTTGTGTTTTGCTCGCGTTGTTATGCAACTTACATCTTCATCCCAATTCAAATGAATTCAGTACTTACTTACACTTCTAACAAAATATAATTCACTCTTTTTATGGCAATTTTGTGGTGTTGAAACTTAGACTTATCATCAGAAATAGACTATTAATCTATTTCTGAAATTAGCTAGCATAGACATTGTTAACAGCAGAAAAATTAGACTGCAAGGCTCTCTAATTACTAACCACTATCATCAGCTGTTTACCAGAAATATAAAACAAACTTAGTTTTTATTTTTGCTCGTGATTCTATGATTTATTGCTTATTTTTGACCACAGCAATTATGCAAATATTCATGCTGACAGTGAAACAACAACGATATCATATCAAATATCAAGCAAATGTGCCATATGTATGAAAAATGCGCCACGAAGGTTAATAACAAATCAATAAGTCAGTAGGTAAGTGAGTAATACGTACGTAAGTATGTAAGTAAGGTAATCAGGCTTACCATTTATTGAAGGAACGTTTGATGTTTCTGATTGCGCATGCGGTGAGATTGGCGTGTTTGTTGAGGGTAGGTGCCCCTGCAATAGACCAACACAGCCAGTATGATCAAAGACTCAGACAGTGGAAGGAAGTAGATATGAGGTATTTTGATTAGAATGACATTTACACATTTATTTATAAATCATATTATTTGCTGTTGTTAAACTTATTATTATTATTATCATTAATACTGACATTGTGTTGTAAATAAATGTTTGCTCTACTGTATTCAGTATTTAGTACTACAAGAATTATTTTTTAGCAATAAAAATTGTCTTATTTAATTGTGAGCACTAACTTTTTCTTTCAACTATCATACTGAGGTGAAATTTCATACCATAATTTTTAATCTAATAAGATTTATCATTATTAGCATTAGCTAGCTATAGTTTATAGATTTTAGCATATTTCATTGCAATTTTGCTTAATATAAAGAATCGTTTTTTAAGAATAAAAGAAATAGCAATCAGTTACAAATTAGTCATAATTCTGAAAATAATTAATGTGCAGTGAAAGATGCAACGGGCATAGAAGCAGTGGTAATGTTGGGATACATAACTTTTTGCAGGTTATTTTCCACATTTCTTCTACAAAAAATTACCATTACAACATTACAGTTTGTCTTCATTCATTAATTTATTACAATTTCATGCTTTGATAGCAATCAAAATGCAAAATATTAATAGTAAACAGAAAAAATTAAACTGCTATGCATTAAATTTTATTCTAAAATATACTGGAAATTGTCAAATCAAAATTCTCTTAAGAATAAAATTAATTCATTGTGGTAGCAGAAATAACCAGCAAATACTGACATCAAGATAGATGGTTATTGAATAATTATTATGGGTTTAATTGCCAAAATTTTACAAAACAACGCCAAAAATATAAAATAATAGTAGAATAGAAATAATAAAGTAAAATGAACAAAGCGCGCTGAAAATTATTATTCATTAATAATGTGCAAAATAAAAAAAAGCCGAAGGTAGCAATGCAATTTCGTTCAAATGATAAAATATACACGAAACATGTACCAGATTAAAATATATAACTGACAGTATGAAATTTTCAATAATATTACACAGCAAGCTCCTATGAAATTCAAGTTTAAAGGTGAAATTAGACTTCACTACTTTCTTATAAACAGCTAAAAAGTATCAGCCACTCTTCCATTAATGACTGCTTATGTAATAACATTTTATTTATACAAATACAATACTTTTCAACCATTTTGTCAGTTGTGAGCTGACAAATTAGAAAATATACTGCTTGATTTGATTCAGAAATTACCTTTCCTTCAATATCGTAAAAGTGATTAAAATCAAAGTCAATATAAAAGTTACTGATTTCAGCATCTTAATAGCCTTATTTTTTGAGTAATACTCCTGCTCAAGAAAAAAAGAATACATTACACAACTAACATAAAGCTGTTTTTTTTTAACTTACGTTTTCCATTGCTTACAGGTAGATATCATCCATAAACAGTAACAATTTAATACTGATTCAGTTTGGTTCCACTTGTTTCTGAAATATATAATTACCAGTTTTCACGATAAATCTATTCCATTACTCTGTAAGCACTATTACATAGTTATAAGCTCACTTTGTGCTCTTACTAATTCCTACTTGGAGAAATATAACGCAAAAATAAGAATTAAATTCATTAGTGAAATCAATTTGTAAAAAAGCAACAGTATTAGCTCGATACGATAATATGACAAACATTCTAATTCATATTTTGGTGATAAGTAAATAAAATAAAAAGTTCGTTCCCTAGTGAAATGAAATAGCTTAAGAATGAATAAACAATTTTTTTGGGAAAGTTGTTCAAAGTTAAAGTTAAAACAATCAGTCGCACAAAGTGTCAGGTGGATACTGCGGTACAAACGAGAAAACGAACTACCCTAAAGTTCTGCTCAGTGATTAATTTGTCTCTTATAATTGCTGCTAACCGTTCATTCCATTTCACTTGCAATATTAGTTATAGCACTGTAATTTATAATAAAATTTTTTACTACATGCATTTATCATCAGTATTATTATTAACAAAGAATTTAACTTAAAATTCGAAACTGTGTAAACAAAAAGATGCATTTAAAAACTGTCTATTAATTCAAATGAAACTCATTTCTAATTCAATTAAATATCTTTTCTTTCCACATTGTTTTATTATTTAAGTTTTGACAAATTTTATTTGCATATTTTACACAAAATCGAGATGGATCCATATTTACAACATTATTATATACACTAATCATACTGATAATAATATGATTACCTTAAATTTTATACTTGAAAACTCATTTCATTATTAGTGTTTTCAAATGTGAAATCATGTTCTAAAAACAGTTAAATTATGTGTGCAAACTATTTCGTTTTTTGCCCAATGTCAGAAAAGAAACAATTCTTTAATTAATAAAAATTAATACTGGAAATTTAAAATTTAAATAATAATAATAATAATAATAATAATAATAGTGGCCATAATAATAACAACAATAAGCCAAAGTTATCAAAAAAAAGTTTTTATTTTTTCCCTCTTGCAAGCACATTTCTTCTCACCAATTGCTTGCATAAATTTTTAAAAGTTTCAAATAATAAAGCATAAAAAATACTTTTAGTGAAAATCTCTGCTAGAATGTGCACTGCTCCCATCCCACCCAATATGCTCACTTATTACCACTACGAGAAGATGAAAATAAATTGTATTCGAATGAATTATTTGTCGTGACTTTTACAGTAACGAGAAAAGACTTCTTTTGTAATTATATATTTACAAAAAAAGAACAAGTAGCACTATTTAAAGTGAAAAAAGAGAAACAAATAAGTACATTACTTGCAGTCACGCAAAATCAACTCAAATATTTTATCTTAGAATTAACTTTGAATAATTTATACAAAACTCTAGCACTTGCAATTAGTTGACTAACTAATTAATCTTTGAGTGATTTATAAATTTTACTAATAATAAAGAGATAAATAATAAGTATGCAATAATACTGCCATATTTCAATAGCTACATTTTGCTCAATTGTAAAAATGCAAATAAAAGTTAAAATATTTTTATGTAAATCGATTTTATGTATTGATATCACTAAAATGCTGTCGTAATATTTTCTTAGATTTATTTAGTCAAATAATACTTTTGTAACTTCGTTTTTTACAGTAAAATTCAGTTTACAATGCAAATTTTTCCAAAAAACAGAAGAATAAAATAGTTTATAGAATGTTATTATAAAAAAAGTAATCATAATATCTTACTTTTGAAGTAATACTTGCACGTATACACTCGGTAATACGACAAATGTAAGCCAATCTATCTATCTATTTCCTTCTTGAGAATGATCTCTTTTCAAGCCTGCAAACTAATTAGACATTAACGCTATAAATAAGAGAACGAGCATTGCATGATCTCGCGTGAATATAATTTGGAAAAAATAATTTTCACATAACAAAGCAAAAAAATTTGAGTCTAAAAATTAGATAAAAGTTATACATATACATACATATATATACATATATATACATATACATATAATTATTATCGCTTGAAAGAGCTTAAAAAACTCAACTAAACTAGCCAAATGCTAATGAATATCTAACTAAAATCGAAAGAATTCACTTTCACCCAATTTAATTAAATAAAAGAAAAAACAACAACTTTTTTGCAGCATTTTGATTACAATATTACATTGGACAACAATACATTCTTGCACTATTACACTTCAACTTCAATATCGATCTGACTTCAAATCGACATTTCACCGAGCTAATTTGCATAAATTTATGAATGCTCCTTTTTCAGCTACTTTATTTTGCTGTCTTATCAGCAATTATATATGATCTCAGGTTGTTTAAATCAAAGACTAAATGAGGATATTTACTATTCAA